TTACCTCAACACTTTTTTCTTGCAATTTTTTATTTTTTTTTTGCACTGCAACAATGAGAGGCTAAACGTTGACCATAGGATTCTGCAGTGCTGGCTACAGAAACCAGAGGAAGCAGGTAAATCATTGGTCATCTCAGGCTGGAAAATGCGGTTTAGTAAGGGACTTGGGAGGAGGAACCTTCACAGAGCACTGCACACGCAAACTGTGGACTGTCTGTAGTATGTAAACAGTGTATGTGTAATGGTAAGCCTAACAGGCTTTAGGCTCTGATCTCACTAACTGCAGGCGGTGGGTTGTGCAGACGCCAGCTGGTAAACAGACCAAAAAGGAGGCTAGGTCTATGTTTATGTTAAAGGAGACATCCACTGTGCAGGAATTAAAAAGTAAGGGATATAAAATGGGATTAAACGATCAGTGCTGGTAGTTTCCAAAGATATCCAGGGTGCAGAAACCTGTGTGTGAAGAAGAGAGGGAGAAGGAGAAGAGGGTAGATGGACAGTTTAACTGCGATGTATCTCCTTCATGTCTTATCTCCCTTCTCTCGTCTCCTGCTCTCCATGTGAGGGCAGTTTTCTCTACTTTATGACTCTTTATCTGACATGAAAGGCACTAAGATGGGATAGCCGCCATTACGGCTCCATCAGCATGAAAAAGCCCTGACACGGGATCCTCCACAGCGGCTGTGCCCATTAAGGACGACTGGTGATTCTGTGCTCTGTCAAGGAGCCATCACGAGTAGACAGCGCCAACATAATGAGGACCTAAAACCTTAACCTTGCCTTTAAGACCCCCGGTCAAAAGCAGCAATAAAATCCTCATGAGGGCACCTTGGCTGGCCTGCTTGGTAATGACAATCCATGTCCAAGCATTAAGCCAGAAAGTACCATAGTTTAGATATACAAAAAGAGTGTAAGGGGTCATATGCTTTCCTTTCATACAACCTGATAGTTACCAAACTACCTGTCAAACTTTGTCTTTCACACAGTCAAAAATCACTGCCTTTATTCCTTTTAATGCTGAACTTGTGACCATACTGATAAAACTCAAGTGATTCAAAATGTTACCTAAAACTAGGGCTGAAAAAGTTAATCAGATTAATCAATGATTGAAATAAGTGTCAACTTATTTAGTAATCGAATAATCGTTAACTGCAGTGTAGAGACTAAAACAGGCCTTAGCTGACAGAGCGAGCCAATTAGAGCAGCAATTCTACCAAAATTGTAAAAAAAAGAAAAAAATATATATAAACATTTTTCATTAAAGATTTTTTTTTAAAAGTTTGTGTCTGTCAATATGCTCTATGCAGAACTCCTCAAGTGGAATCATTTTAGTTTCACTTGATTAAATTTCATTCAAAAAATTCTTTAAACAACCTTTTGCTATCTGATTAATAATCAATTAATCGAAAATGGAATCAACACAAGAATCGATTAGCAAAATACTTATTAGTTGCAGCCCTACTTAAAACAAAGATTCCAACAGTGTTTAATACGGTTACTGATACTTTAGTTGAAATCAGAACATAATGCATGGCTGTTTTAACACAAAGTAAAGGATGCAACCCAGCATAGACCAGAACGCTGAGAAACGCTGATCAGGAATGCTATCCAGTAAATTTTAATTGTTCCTGCATGTCGTCTAGTATTGGCAGTGTTACATGCAGTCAGGAGACGTAGAGAAACCAGCACAATATAGGAACATGAGAGAAGACGGAAATGGGTCATGAGAGGTACATCTCCTGTTAAGCACACCAATAACTTTTGGTTTTGTCTTATTTCTTTTTTTTGTGAATTATTTACTTAAGAGATCATGGAGCTGCTTAAAAATATATACGGTATATTGTTTTGCTGCCTGTATAATCCAATAATAATAATACGACTATTTTTGTTCTGTTATGTGACACTGAACTGCCTGGTATGGTTGTGAACTAGAACTGTTGTAAACAAACAAATATGTGGAATGGATGCATTGCTAAGAAGGACTAAGTATGTACTCATTTTCCCAAAAGATTCCTGTTGCAAGGATAAGTTTAAAATAACTTTATAAATGTGAAGTTCAATTGCACTCTGATATAAGCAATTTGGTTCTTTAAAACCCTTTTAGTCCAAAGATTAGTGAATAATTATAATCTTGGCTTCAAATGAAGGAACAACTCAAAACGTATTAATGCAAGACAAAGCAAAGAGCAGCTACAAAACATAAGATGAGCAGGCAGTCAGCAGCCAGACCAGCGAAGTGGTCATGGGTTTCAATTTGGGGGAAACTCAAGTTTTTAGATGAAGACAATGCTTCCATTTTCCTTGCTTTCTATCTGTTATGATGACAAAATGCCTCCTAAGATTCCTCTAGCATATGTAGATCCACCAGTACATGCTCTGTCCAAAGATTCCTGCATGCATACTGTACCTATAACAACTATAGACAGTGATGAAATATTTTTTTCCTCAGTGTCTGAGCCAAATAAATGATGGGTCCTGAACCAACATTTAAAATTTGTCCTCAAACATACGTGTGACTGACAACTCATTTTACAGGTTGTTTTCTTAAGGGGATCAGTAAACAAATGAAAAAAACATTGAGTGAAATTGCTGCAATACCTATTGTTCATCCCAAGTGTAGCATGTACTGAGAATTTTCCGGGCCAGACAAGAGACAGCGTCCTCAGTCTAAACCTTGTGACACCTTAACTACTGTAGTGCACTTAAATCCTCACAAGTTAAACACTTAAAGACCATGTCTAAAAAAAGCGAGACTTTCACTTGATTCAATTCACTGCGTAAATATTTTACATTGCAAGCATGAGTCAAAAATAAAGAATTACGATAGTGTTATGGTTGTTTGGATAAATGCATTGAAATGAAGCAGAGAAATGATGCTGGCGATACGCACAGAAAAAAACAGAACCTTAATGTGTTGATGATGCAATATGGATTTTATGTAATTTTGTATTAAAATCAAGCAGCAGCACCTACCAAGTGGTTCTGATTTTTTTTTTTTTTTAATCAAGCAAGCTTAGTTTAATACAAATATCCTACATTTAGTATCTCCTGAGCGGCACTCTGATTTTTAGCTAGTTAAAACCCATCTCTGTGTGGTGACATCTGAGGGAGAACCTTTTGGAGCTAGCTAAGCATTCTCTAATGGAGAAGGACGGAAACACTGATTGTTGTTCCATAACATCTAGTAAGTTTAAGCTCAAGGAAGCAGCAAGAAAGCATCACACCCTATAGGTCAGAACCACCCGGAGTGGACCTCAGCCTACAGAGTCAGCCTCTGAGCTGAAGGTTGATGCCTAATATGACTGCAGGAGCCCCAGTAGAAAACACACAGCGGGGAAACACAGCTTTCTATGTCTCTGGTACAGATAGTATAACCCGTTATTAGTTTATAAATATAAATTAGTATATAATAATTCAAATAAATGTGACTTTCAAAAAAATACTGCACCGCTGTTGCAAGACACTACCTACTACATCCTTAAAGGTATAGTTAGCAACTACACCCATCATTCACTGCCAAGGTTGTCAGATCTGTCTGTTTCCATCCCAAAAACAATGTGAAACCCCACCACCCTAATAATAATAATACAAAAAAAATACAGCATAAATTCCTTTAAACCGTCCATTAAAACCACAAATTTATAAAACACCTAATTCAGAACGCAGAGACCCGCTATTAAAACGAAGATAGCCTCCGACTTCAGTACTACAGAGGTTTAAAAAAAGAAAAAGATCCAAATCTAATAATTTTTTCTTAATTGATTCATTCATTTTATATATATATATATATATATATATATATATATATATATATATATATATGGCAACAACTTATGATCGGTTGGCCAAAGGTTCCTTAAAGTAGATTTTTTTTTACAAAATTAGGTCAGGTTAAACTAAAACTTTCTTTATCGAGTATATTGATGAAAACATTTCTTTATCTTAAATGCAAAATGTTTTTTTTTTTTTTGATACAACTACTGCTCTAAGTGGGTTGCTCTGTCAGCTAAGGGCATGTTTTCCAGTCTCTATACTCCAGTTAACGATTAATCAATTACTACATTAGTCGATGATTATTTCAATATAATCGTCATGTATATTGTTTTATATATATATATATATATATATATATGATGCTTTCATTTTCATCTATTAATCATGATTAAAACGATTAATTGTTTCAGCCCCAACACATACACGTATATAGTATCAGACATGTTTTAAATATTTTAATCTTCCAATAATCTACAAAACTATAAAAAATAAAAAAAAACTATCCAGGAATCTTTAAGTTGTCCCTTTCAAATGAAACTTGATGAACTACACAATTTGAAACTTTCAGGCAATCAGACTACATGTTATTTTCCAGTGGAGAATTGGGAATAGAGTTTTCACCACGTTAGTTAAATTCTTTAAAGGAGAAAAGACACAAATTTTAGGCCCAAATCAAGACAGAAAGGAAATTAAGAGTACTTGAAAAGGTAATTTATCCTTTAAGCTGGGCATATAAACAATAATTTTTGAAGCTGAATCCAATAGTAGAAACGCTAGTTTCACGTTTCGGTGTTGTCATACGAGCTTGGTGTATCTCTGCTGTATTTACCTCACATGGGGTGTCTGTGAATGCAAAGTGATTTTTTTATTAATGGTTTAGTGTGGCTCTGGAGGTGTCACTGCGCCACCTTTGGTGCTGTGTAAACTTCTGTGTATTCAACTGTTTTCTAAGCCGTTTATGAAAAGACAACCATGCTCTACTTTCTGTGGACTAGGCCTTAGTCTTCAGTTGTGCAAAGCAGGTTGAGACAAACATCAAAAGAACTTGCAGCTGCAATTGATGATGTAATAAAATACCTTGTATTGTTTAATAAAGAAGGTATTAAAAACTAGCACGTTCCTTCTTAACATTTCCTATTTGTGTTAATCAATCAGATTAAACCTCAATCAAGCAATATCAAAGTTTGACATAAATCACCAAGATGGGTTTAGTTAGAAAACCTTACCTCCTGACACTGGAGCATCCATGAAGACAGCTCCCATCTTCTCTGATGCCACAGCCATTTCTTTAGCAACAGACGGGTCAATTGTTGAAGAGTCGACCAGTAACGTTCCCTTTTTCACCTTCCTGAGCAAAGTTAGAAGAGACACATAAATGACGGGTCCAGCTTTTCTAAATTCTTCCTCAGATCAACATCAAACAAATATCTGCCTACTTCAGGATGCCGTTAGGGCCCGTATAAACCTCTATGACATTTGGACTAGATGGCAGCATGGTGATGATTCGGTCTGCTTTCTCTGCCACGTCTGCAGGGGAGTCCATCACCTAAGTGTCAGATTCACCATCATCATCATCATCATATCATAAATGGAAAATGAACAGAAACTAAAACGGCTGCATGAAAAATATAAATTTTCTTATGACATCTAACCTGGGCGCCCAATTCTTGAAGCTCTTTGCAAGATTCTGGGAAGACGTCAGTGGCGATGACAGGATAGCCATTTTTTATCAAGTTCTTGGCCATGGGACTGCCCATATTTCCCAGACCAATAAAGCCCACAGGTGTCTTTGATGCCATTGACCTTTTTGATACTAAAGAGAGAAAAAAAAAGTTTGATAAATTACACCTATATAATATAAGTGTGAAGCTGTGCCATTTGTTTCCATTATCCTGAGGGATCTCTCTAACAAAAACAGTTGCAGTAAAAGCACCAAACAACAACAAGGTTTTCCATCAAATATGCAAAAATTAATTCAACTCTGCAGCAAATCTGTGTGCTTTAAATGTCATCAGGCGTTTCTCCATTAGAGTTTTAGTAAAAATTCCCCAGATGAGAATGGAAACTGGAAGTAAATGAGCCAGACAAGAGGAGGGATTAGACTTGGATAGGATACCCAAACAATGAGCTTAAGGTAAATTCAGCCAGCTTTACAACATGCTTAGAATATACTGTCACGCCATACTGTAGTTTTACAGAGTCTGTGATCTAATTTATATCTGTCAAAACCATTTTTTCTTATGTACACCAAGTTTTGGTTGTAGTTTGTTACTGAAGTTTTAGTTTAGTGACAGACTAGATCTATGGAGAGGTACTAAGGTCATGACATCAATAAAACTAGTTTAATGGAGACTTTATCCCAGTGGATATGTTGTGTAAGCACCTTGTCTTCACCAAAAATAACTCACAGTATGTTTGATCACACTTTAGCTTTTTCTGGTGTTTTTATTTTTTTTTCTTTTCTTTTGAGAACATGTCTTGTTTATTATTTAGGGCATTTCTTAAAAAAGTAAATAGCTATATTGTGTGTGATTCCAAGACATTCCTTAACTTCGAGTCAAACTAGAGAATATTTAGAGCATTTTTTTCTAATGCACTCACAGTCTTCAGCCAGGCTATGGCTGTTTGCCAGAATCAAGGTAAATCAAGGTATTTTTCCCTTATGCGATCAAACTTTCGGAAATATTCTAATCAGTGATTTACAATATGAATTTATGTGCCTTTTTATTGTACTTTATATCTGTATATACACCATGTTCATTTCTCAAGACTTTGCACTTTAAACCAATGTCTACATTAGGGCTGAAACAATTAATCGGATTAATCTTTTATTGAAATAATCATCAACTAATTTAGTATTTGATTAATCGTTAACTGGAGTATAGAGACTATTAAAACAGGCCTTTAGCTGACAGAACAACCCATCGTGAGCAGCAATTAATGCAAAATTTTAAATAAAACATGTAAACTTCTTGCATTTAAGATAAAAACCTTTTTCTTCTGTCAATATGATCTATACAGAACTCCTCAAGTGGAAAAGTTTAGTTCCACCTGATTTAATTTCACAAAAGGTCTTCTTTAAAGAACCTTTCGCTTATTGATTATTAATTGAATAATCAAAAAAATTGTTGAAAGATTAGTCTATTTGCAAAATAATTGTTAGTTGCAACCATGGTCCACATGTTTACATTGCATGTATTTAATACATCCTCTCATTTCGTCTTTGCACTGATATTGGTGGCTTTTAATTCCGTAAAAATTCAAAAAAATATCCACTGGAATTGGTTTCCAAGATTTGAAGATGTTTCCAAAGCTTCCTGGAGAGGTGGCGAAACGTCTTCAAATCTTGGACACCAAGTCCAGTGGATATTTTTTTAATTTTTACGGAATGACCATGACCTGGATGACTGAGAATCTTCATCAGCATGTGGCTTTTAATCTCACTGCATTGCATATAATAATATAGTAATTTCCCTCTGAGATTATAAAAGTATTTCTGATTCTGATAATAACAATAAAAGCATTCTGATTCTCTTATATAATGGTCTTTCAAAGTCACAGAATTACATCAGCTAACAACTTCCATCATATTACTGTGGACAAAAATAAAATAAAAATCTATTTATTGATATTCAAGAAAGTAAGAGCTCTGATGGCAAACATTTCTCCGGCTTTAGAGGCCATTCCTGCCTAAACCCAAGCTGTGCACTGCTAGCCAGCTAGCTGATAGACGACTACTAAACTTTTCCCTTCTTTGTGAGGTCGACAATCATAGTGTGAAACTAAACTAGCTCTACACCACCTGTCACTGTGATTTATGGAAAACCTATCCTGAAACTACAGCTGACAAAAGATAACCAGCATTTAGACTATGTGAGCAGATGGAAAGCACAAATGACCTGCTAAAAGTGTTGTACTCATTAGAAGAACAGAAAATTAGATATATTTATCTGTGTAAAAAGCATCCGAAAGATACTTGTTTGAGTGTTTACTCTGTTATATAAAGATGTAGGACATTGGAATTTTGGCAAAAATCCGATATGTCAATATTTTACAATTCAACTGGCCAACAACCAATACAAATATTGGTGTATAGCAGTTTAGCTATTGGTTGGCAGAACTTTGAAAAAACGAATGCACCACTGCTATTTTTACAAAGGCATCTCTCCTGTGGCAGACCCATGAATCATCGGAGTGCAAGTGACCTGCTGAAGCCACAGGTGTAATCCTAAATTGTTTTTATTAAAGTATTGATTTCATATCACTGAGTTTTACTGATGGAATGGTCAATGTTAGATATTAAACATAGTGCAAACAAAATCATGATAATATTAAACAGCCCTAAAATATATATATATATATACATATATATAGCATAAATTCCTTTTATTGTTATTATATGCAATGTAATGAGATTAAAAGCACCAATATCAGTGCAAAGACTTAGTACAAAAAAAAAAATATGAAAGTTTATTAAACACAAGCAATGTAAACATTTGAACATTGGTTTAATGTGCAATGTGTCTTGAGAAATAAATTTGGTGTGTGTGTCTGTGTGTATGTATATATATATATATATATATATATATATATATATATATATATATATATACACACCATATTTCATATATATACACACCATATTTCAATTGTAGGTTTGTGGTGCTTTTATTTCACAAAACACCCTATTATTAATTTATGTTGAACTTATAGTTGGACATTCAGTCATGCAATCACAGGTTTACCAAAGATTGTTTTGCACACAGTCATCCAAGCTTAAGAATATGTGTTGTTTAAAAATCAATTCAACTCAGCTTAAGATCTTTAAAAGAACGACTTAAGATAAATACAACCACATCTTCGTATGCACACTTTTCATTATAACTCAAAATGAACTCAGGGACATTGTGTCCAAGCTGCAACATCAGCAAGGACTGTAACTCTTCATACTTTATTTCTAAGAGCTAACAAGCTAGCTAACAACCTGAGGCATGGGACATACCAATTGCATTTATCACTGTAGCATTCCTAAAGGAGGGGGAATTGCGTCACAACAGAAACCAGTACCTTACCAAAAACAAAGTAGGCATGCTTGTTCCATCGGAGCCCTGTACTTCGGAACCCTCTGAACAACGCAGCCATGCTTCCTCCCCCTCCAACCTCGGTATTTGGTGACAGCTGTCAACCCAGAAAAGCCTCAGCGAATGGTTATGACTCACTGTCAGTTGGACCAATCGGAGCATCGTATTAGTTAGTCGGACCAATCGGTGCATCGTATTAGTTATTTGGACCAACCGGAGCACCGTATTAGTTAATCGGACCAATGGGAGTAAGGTTAAGGCGGGACATCCTGTCATTTTACTTGAAAGTGCCCTTAATGTATACTTTTTCATTAGTTTGCATATAATTAATTATAAAATGGAAAAATATATATTTTTAGAAAGAAATTTTTATATATTTTTTAATTTATTTATTTTTAATTGGAGTGGACGCTAAGATAGTTGAAACCAATTATGTTATACTGGGGTTCAATTCAAATCAAACGGACAAAAAGCCGTTAGGTTCAATAGTTTAATATATTGAATCCACGTTTTTTGTTAAGCTATTAATATGCTCGAAATGTTAATACGTGGGGGTTCTGTTTCCCCCGGTCCTTCCAGCATCACTGGTGCAGCAGCTCAGCATCATCTCTCTCTCTCTCCCTCTCAGGAAGAGACGCATCACCGCCAGGGCTGCGAGTGGAGGAGAACTACCGAGATACGACGAAGAAAGTCACTGTTCCTTTACAAGCAGCAGACATTTAGTAGAGGTAACGTTTATTTCCAAACTGAACTGAATTGTGTTTGTGTGTCATGGGTGAGCGAGCTGTCGCCGCCCTAACAGGATGATGCTTCTAGCTAGCTAGTAGTGACTTGACACAACATTGCTAATGTTAGCCCCCTTTAATAGGATAAGCCTCAGCTTGCTTTAGCTAAAGTTCACTGGGCCGAAGTGTCCTCTGGCTGCACTGTGAGCTTTTCTGTCTGCAATAGAAATTTTTTTGTTATCGTACTGGCAAAATATTTCTCCTGTATAATCCCGGGGTGGAGTCATGAGAGTGAAATTATAGCACAACAAAGGTGTTAAGCTGTTTATATTCACCTGTTTGTTTGATACCCTTCAGTATTATCAAAGGCTTCCCTTTATCAGGGGCGGAGCTAGATGGGGGGCCAGGGGTGGCCTTACCCAATCACTCCTGGCAGCAGTAATACTCTCAAGTGTTGTAACTTATTTAACTTTTTAATTTTCTATATGTAAACAATTACCTAACAAAAACACTGTGGTTAATTATGCGCATCAATATACTAACATTAAAGATAAATACAGAATTCATGCTCTTTTCAGAACTAGATTTTGTGTTGTATGGGGTAAAGAGAAAATCATGTGTCTGCAAGTGATCTAGGAATCTTCACTGAAATGAGAGATAAATAACTACCTTAATAATAAGTAATTAATTTAATGTAGATATTAGGTACATTTTAATTTTATGAACCAAGGTTATTAATAAAAGTACGTAAGTAATAAAAATGAATAAGATGTTCGCCCCAGAACTCAAAACTGAAAGAATTTTCTCCACCTTTAATTTAGACAGCATGGATGTTCAAATATGCGTCTATTTGTTAGCTTAAGCTGCAGGAAAGTATACTTTGTCTTTATTTAGAAAATATGGATATTTTGCTCGTTAATGTTCCTGTTAGAACACTGTAGATTGACCCTGAGGTTCTGGCACCTATCCACTTTCGGCCAACCCTCAGTGTACATTGGTTATTGCCTGGCCAGCTTTTTTTTAAATTTTCTGGCTACGCCTCTGCACTTTGGGCTACCTACACGGTTTAATGGTATGTTGGAAATATTTCTATAGTTATTCACAATCTTATTCACTGAAAGTTCCGTTATTTACTTTCGTTCCCAGATCCGCTGAATTTAATTTTGATCAGGGGGTGCTGTGAAAATATGTTTTCTTTTATCTTTTTGGAAAACAGACCTGTGAGCCTATAGGCCTATTTAAAATACACTAATAGAAATAAGTAAATAGATTGAGATTCACTACTTTATTTTCATATACACTTTTGTATCACACAGACATCATCAGTTCCTAGGTGAATATATGCGCTATTAATTAAACTTCACAATAACACCATAACAACGACCTGAGTCACTGTGTTTATGTCACACATGACTTTATTAGCTCCAAAATCCTTTCATGCAAACCACAAGGAAATAATTATATTATTGTACTTTTTAAACCTTATTGAACAGTTCTCCACATCCATTGCACAAAGAAAACAAGATCTAAATAGATCAAAGATCAAAATAACACCCTAAAATACTATGGCTACGTTAAACTACACGAATAGAAATGAAAGTGCTCGGCGGGACCATGTCCTTACTTTGAGCAACAGGCAGGGTGCCCTGGTTACACGTTAGCTTGGGTTGTGGGTGCTGGGCCTGCTGGTGCATCTGCTATCAGAGGTTGGGGGACAGTCTCCTCACTTTGGTCTCTCTCCGTTGTCCTGGCTGCAGTATCAGTGTTCTTCACTGGTGGTGGTTTTCCCAAAAAATCCAAAACACGTTTCTGTGCCATATTTCTTCATCATTTCTATCAATAGACCATGGCCATTTCTCAATTGACAAGAACGCGAGTACGGACTTGTGTCCTCGCCAAGCATGTTCTTGAGAAGAACCCGGGAAAGTGTGGACTTGGTGAGAACGGGAGCACGCAGCATAAATATGGGTCAATTGGAACAGAAGCGTACTTGTGATGTCACCACACGCCCAGCCCGTCGAGAGCCGCATTTCACCTCCTGTTATTAATAGTCTCTAGATAATAATAAATTATTAATTTTTTTAATTTAGTGGAGGACTAATGATGGACACAGTCAGATAAACACAAATCAAATGAACATCTTGCCAAATAAAACAAAAAAAGCCAGCAGTACTTCAAACACGGCTATGCCCAGAGAGGGCTGCTGCAGACGGCTGCGGCTAGCCTCGGAGGTCTGCTGGTTGCCGCGGTCCTCTCAACTTCGGAAATTTAATTTAAACATTAAATCGGTAAATGGACCATATAGCGACGCTTTAAAGTATAATATTCTCGCCTTAAATGATCTTAAAACATACTTTTATTGAACAACAGCAACAGAAAAGAGAACTTTTAACTTAATACTCTGAGTTTTGTGAGCGCGCCATTGGAAGCTGCTGCTGCCGCAGTGCATGCTGGGACAGCAGTCAATCTCAAAAACGGACAAGTCTGCTCTGATGCATGCTGGGTAAATAGGGAGGGGCGAGAAGAACATCCGGGGTTTTTGTCCGTTCTCGGTCTGCTGTTCTTGTGAATTGGAACAGTACTAGGCCTGAGGTTGATGACGTTCCACGTGTAGACGAGCACATAAAAAC